AGTTTTTTGTAATTTATTTGCCCGTCCAAGATGTAAGTAAATTTTACTTTTGAGGAGCATATTTGAAAAGGTCGGAAGGGTTTCTGAGTGGCATATTCCGTTCAACATTCAATGCACAACTTTATTTTCATCTTGAAAGACAAAGCACTTAACTTCTGCACCACATAAAACAACCCTCCCCAAGCATAAAACCTTGTTTAAAGAAAACACATTTAGTGCAGCATTCCTCTATTTTTATTAACCAAGGCCTGTATTCATTTTCACTTAAGCTGTTCATGTCTGGAACACACATACTGTAGCAACAGCATAATGAAGCACCCTGTCTGTAACACTTCTCTCTTCTAATTCCTTCCCTGCTTACAGAGAAAATTTCTCATAGAACTTTGGTCCAAACAAAAATGACAAATAACATTCAGTATCTGAATGTCCAGATTGAGTTAGATAAAAACCTCAAAATACCTCTTCTATAACAATCATTAAAACTTCTCAGAGAAGCCTACCCCCTTAACACTGCAGCTCTTTAAAGCACATTTTCTTCAACTGCATCCTTCACTTGTGTATGAAGGGATTCTGTACTGAGCTGCAGCTGCCACTCTTTGGTAATATAAGCTCTTATTAGCCTCCATTAGCTGTGCTCTGGAACTAATAGGAGATTGTCAAATTCATCAAAACATTCACACAAGTGCATGCAGATTCAGGAGATATGGCATGGTGGTGATCTTAGCACACAGCTATCTGCTCTCCGTTGAATTGGCGTTTTTCAAAGCAGCATGTGAGTAATTATAGTATCTCTACTGGTGGCGATGTCCATCCGAGCCCCTCTATAAAACCAAAGCCCCTTACACAAATAAACATTCAGTGTTCCTTTTTAATAGTTTATGAAAGGGAAAGGAGAAAGGGAGGCAGGCTACACTGGACTGGAGTGACACACCTAGAGTAAATAAATGGTAGAGAGCCCGTTCATTGTTTCAGGGTTTAAAAAGATTGACCCAGCCTCCCCAAGAACAGCCAACCTGTCCCAGACTAAACCCCTGGGCCCAGCTTCTCTTGCCTGGGCAGGTTTTCCTGTGTGAAGAATGCAGGCTGATCACAAGGCATGTGTTAAGTACACGTTTGTATCTAAAATTAAAGCAGAGTGGGAATGTCTTTGTGAAACATTCAAGAAATAAAACAAAAGGCAATTACTTTCCCGTTGCTATGCACAGACACGGCCAACGGTCACTCAAATTATTGCACAAACTACAGTGTCTGATATGCACAAACAACAGTTCAGAGAGCTTGGGGGTGTGGTAAACTTGTTAAACATAGGCATTCCCAAAGGGTATTTAACAAACGATATGGGACAGTTAGATTCACTTGTAACCTACTTTTATTTCATTTGCATTGGCATAACATCACTTATTCTTTCACATCCTATAATGCTGACAGGAACTGGCTATTTCAATTCAATTAGTGCTGTAATGTTGCCTGAACCCTATATTTATCTTGTCCTGGGCTTGTAGAACAACATGTTATATATATTTAAATTCCCAGATAGCAGATTTAAACCCAGTAACACTATACCACTGAATGTCATATTCAGAGAAATAATTACTGAAACAACAGTTCATCCTTTAGAAAACTAAATGGGAAAAATAACATAAAATTGATAGTATTGACAGTTTTCCTTCTTCCACACGGAACGACGTCTTAGGAGAAATAAGTACTGTAAATAGATGTATCATCTATAAAAAGTTTACAGTTTGAGTGCTTAGTCTGTCACACACAGTCTTTTGAAGGATAAAAAGCAGCAATACACAAATGATAAGTAAAGATATTGCCTGAGTACTGTACATGGACATCAAAATTGAATTTATTCCTTTAAAGAAACACTCCATCACCCAAACTGAGCTAAAATAAATTATAAATGGTGAACAGAAAATGATAAAAGAGTAACCTGGCAATATTTAAATTCGTACTTCTGAAAACAACAAGGTTCAACCTTCAACTGTGGGAAAAAAAATATTATTATAAAGTTTTCATTTTAAATACTCACCAAAATGTAATTTTCATCCCCTGCCCATGTTTTACAATTGTTTTATTCTACTATATCGCAGTCACTTCACGTTTCGATCAAAAAGGACGAATCGCCCGAAATGCACAACGCTAATAAGAAGATCAGCGGTTAAGTGAAGGTGCTGCTTTTCAAACTGTTGCGCATCCGAGAACCTGTCGTGCGCAGGACGTTCAGGGTTACAGCGCGGTTTAGCTCCTTGCTCAGATGAGAGGGGACAAAAGTCGAAATATTGATATCGAAATAAATATTGATTTTTACTGTAAATAAAGTCAAATGATACAATTGAAGAGCAGACGAGTATAGGTACTAAAACATCGGTACGTCCTGGAATTTATAAACCGATATCTGTGTATTGGGAAATCTTTTAATTTTCCAGTTCAATCTCAAGCACAACTTGTTGAAATACATTAGAGACATTATGTTTCTGTTTCTGTTTTTTCACTGCTGCATAAACGCAGTTACAGTGCACATGTCATACCAGCTTCCTCAATAACACTTTCATTCACAGCACTGCACATTCGTCAACTATTCACATGCATTTTTATATGAAATTAAGTATTAAATTGAAATCGATGATCTACAGAGTCTCTGTGTCTCCGTGCTACAGTTACTCAATACAGATCACACCTTTACTTCACCAGCAGCTCTTAAGTTTCATCATTCAAAACGAGTGACACATAATTTGTCTCATCAATAACAGAGTACTGTAGGTATGGAAAACTGTGGCATGCAGCAAATACATTTTATGATACAACTAAATACACGGAGAAATAAATCCTCTCTACATTCTTTGAACATGTCTGAAGAGAATCAAACAGAGCTGAACACTTTATGAGCGCTGTGATTTCTCCTGGGAGCCTGCTCTTTTGGAATAATAACAGCAGCAGAGTGCAAGTGTCTTAAGGAGGCAGCTGCAATCCCATTTATTTTCACAGTGGAGAACTGTTTTTTCAAGAGTATCCAGGTTTTTATTCAGAAAGTTAAAGCTATGCAGTATATCCAGATTTGAGCAGTTTCAAAACACATCAGTAAACGTGATATGACAATGATAATATATACTGTATCATATCATATTCCGGAAGTATATGAAACCTCTTACAACTTACAAATAAACTAGCTGTAATTTACACTTTAAAAAAGAAAATATTTTGCAGGACTTAGTAAGTTTTTTACAAAACACAAAAAGGACAAACTTATTGCGAAGAAGACACAACTAAAAACATTGCTCCTAGGGCACCATTTACCTCAGTTAAACTAGTGGTTCCTTTAGTGCTTACCTTCATTCCATATTCATTTATTCATTGCTGGATTTCTTTTTAACTTAGTAAGACATTCCTGTCTGGTGTATGTGAAATTAATAAGACAAAGCAACACTAAATAAGTATATTTTCTACCTTTACAAAGACAGAAATACGTAAAACCCTGCAATCTCCATTAACAAAAGCCCAGGGAAATAAATACTGAATGCTTTCAGATTGAGACTAAGATGCATGCCCAAGGAAACTTTATTTTTCATTAAGGGAGGTTCAGGATGTCAGTGAAAGCCATCATGTTTACTCAGAGAATCTCTCCAAACCCCTACGCTGTGGTCAGGCTTCCCAGTTGTCCTTGGCCGCCAGACGGCAACTGACTGGAACTTCCCTAAGATTCGTTCCTCCAGAAACTCACCAGCACCCCCATCCCTGCCCCCCATTTCCAACCTCACCCCAGCCCACACACGCCACTTGGCTGCAACTGGGTACAGAGTGCAAGTATCCACTTCCCCACTGGCCAGAGTGCCAAATACCAAATTAGCTTGTCAGGGCCCTGATGAAGTGCTACATGAAAGCGTTTCGGAGCCCTAACTGATTCAAGCTGCTTTCTGTGAAAGGAATGCACCACAGCTAAGCCCGGCTAGTGACCAGAGAGCTCATATTTTACTGGGCAAAGCTTTCATGGCTACAGCTGACAGGAATGAGGTGTACACGTGTCCCTTGCAATGCCTGTCCCTGAGATAACCTCATGTAAAACTGCGACTCGAACAAGACCTTGGCAGCAGCATCAAGTTTTAGTCATGACGCATCCGCATGCCACCAAAACATCGATTTGCATTTTCAGGAACCTCCTTGCTATGATGTGAACCATTCTGATCGGAATGACTTTCAGGCTGGTTCTTTCCCAGGTTTCCCAAAGAGTAAAAAAAAAAAGATTTCATATGAAGATACACAGACCTGGGAAATCTGTATGGAGTACTAGATCTACAGCATGAGAGTAAGCAACTAAGAATAAGGGTATTACTATCTAAAACCTAAAAAAGATACAGTATATGATTTAAGAGCTCTTTGCCTGTTATAGATCATCTGCAAGCCAGAGATAAGAGATATACCCCAAATTCCTGGGCTTTGGCCATCAAATCCCATAAGTAATACATCACAGATCAAGGTTTTAATTTATGTATCAAGAGGCAGGCACACAAATGTTATTCATAGAATCCCCTTGTTTTTTCTTACTTTCTGATTGAAAAAAAAAGTTATTATTAATCTATAATTTATAGAGATTAAGTTACCTGTTTTGTAGATAAAAATATGGGTACCAATTAAAAGCACACAGCCGGATTTCCTGAAGCAAATCAGGTAGAGCATCTTAGCCAAGTTTACAGCAGCTGCGATTCCTAGTAGGATTCAAGCCCTTGAAAGTCCTTTCATATGCTCCATCTTTCCAGGTTTGCCCTTTTTACTAGAATGCCATCCCTTAAACATGACAAGCATTGTTTAAGCACCTTTGTCGCGCTCAAATTCTAACTTGCCCATTGTTGTTGGATAAAGACAGGTAGAAAACATTATGAAAAACTGCAGCTTCTTAGAAAAGCCAGCAAGAGCTTAAACGCCCCATCAGAATCAGCATGTCTTTAGTCACAGGGACAAACAATTATGAATGAGAGTGAGTGTCAGAGAGAGAAAGTTACCTTGGCAGGAGACTCCTCTCTCCTCGAAGCCGATGTTACACAGACACTTGCCGATGGGTACCAGCCACTCCCCCTCTGTGCTGCAGTACATCCTGGGTGACTCTTCCTCCTTGGAATTGTTAACGCAGGAGCCACGCACCTCCACCAGGGACTGGGAATCCATGGGCACGGTGTCGGGAAACATGGCCAGGTTCCTCACTGTGAAGGGGCACTTTTTGAAGTAGACCCGCACGGAAACCAGGGCCACACAGGCCCCGACATCCTGGAAGGCCAAGTAGAAGCCCTTCTTGGTGATGGGCCCCACCTCCCGCACCTCTGTGTTCAGCTTGAGGATGCGGTCACCCAGGTCCATCTGCGTGAAGCTCTCATCCGCCGCGATGGTGTCGATCTTGGTGAACTGGTGCTCCCGGAACTTGACGCCTTGGTCCTCGTCTGTCTCCATGTAGTAGAGGTTGAAAGTCTCCTTGCAGGTGCCCAGGACCAGGGGGATGCTATTGCAGTCCCGCAGGGTGAACTTGAGTTCCACGTAGATCTTCTGTGCAGAATTACGTGGGATCCAGTTGGTCCTCAGCCAGTTGTTCTGGCTGTACTCCATCACGTTGCACACCTGGTAGGTACGGATAGGTGTGTAGTATTCATCCACACCACTAATCTCTTCCCACTGAGAAAATAAAATGAAATTTGCATTTACCACTGATGCATTGAATCATTTCTGCCAGGAAATATGGTGCAGAGTGAAGAATGGCCTTGAAATGAATCAAAAAAGAACAATTTTATCTCTGTCTTATATAGTATTACTTTACATGTCATTATCTGCTTCTGTTTGCACTTGAACCAGAGTCCATCCAAGAAGCAATGTTCTTGTTTTGCTTCATGTGGGACTATTCTTCATCCAGAATGTGTTGCCTTTTAGTATATTATTGACCAAGCAAATGGTCAATGTCAAATTCTTGCCAAAATGGTAGAAACATTGTTTAAGTTTCTGCAGAAAAGCAAAATAGACTACGAATTGAGAGCCTGCTCTTTCCACAAATTTGAATTAAAAAATATTGGCCTTAGCTTTCCCTGCAGTTTATGAAAGTCTGTCAGCTGTGAGAAGCAATCTGTTTTAAGTAGTTGAGAGTTGCTAATTACCAGACATAACAAGTGTGTGTCCAGACTGTGTAATTCGTCCTTTTTTTGCTGTGTTTCAGTTAATGAAACACTCAGAAATGACCATTGTAAAAGAAAGCAATCGATCACCACTGTTCCAAGTCTGGTATTTCAGAAATAGAGACATGAAAGGACAGTATTTGCAAAAACATATAGATAGATAAGATGTGTTCTCCAGCAGCTACCAACATAAAATGTGTTGGAATCATAATTTTGCAATGGTTTTTGTGGTTCTCTTTATTCACTATGCATTTCGAACAACACTGGTAAGGCCCTGGCCAAAGACAGAATCAGTCTGAATCTCATTATCAAGTTATTATTGCCTACAAAATCGTAAGGCCACAGTACAGCTCCCTGATGAGGGGGACAGAACAGAATAGACAGATGGTTAGTATTTGGGACTTTTTAGAATTGGTGCAATGCACATAGACTTCCTTCCTGACAGAGGCTGCAGAGTGCTGTTAATATCAGTGTTATACTGTACAGTATGTCTATTGAGGCACTTGCAGTGAGCTTTGGCTGTGAAGTACAAGCTCGCTATGTTGCTCTGCATCTCTTATGCTTTATTGAGGAGGATGTGGTGGGGCTGATTTGTTTATATTTGACTGCTTGAAAATTATCCGTAGACCACTGTGGCAGAGCACAGATGTTTTGCAAAGCCCTCAAGTAAAAACACCTTGTGTTTCATCAGCTCTCGCAATTCATCTATGAGCATCAACTGCCTGTACTGGAAGCACATTAAATAAATGTGTGACTTAAGGGTGTGGTACGCTCAGACCCTGCAGTGCTTCTGCAGAGCACTATAATTAAGAGCTGCCATAATCAGTGAACAGTCACAGGTCCACATGTGCGGACAATTCACACAAGCACTATACAATATATGAACTGAACGCCGAGATCCCTGTGATCTAAAAGGAAAACCAGCCTGACAGAAGCAGCTACAAAGTATCCAAATCCATGGCCCACCATCAGTACACTGAGATCCGAAACAGAACAGCCTGATATTCAGGAAAGGTACAGTTATGCTTATATGTTCATGGTATAAGAATAGTAAAGTATAGCAAAATATAATAGCAGAGTATTATATAGTAGTGTATAGTGTAGCATATAGAGTATAGTATAGTGTGGCATAGCATAATATAGTAGTGTATAGTGTATCATAATGTAGTATTTAGAAAAGAATTCCAGCACTGGCAGTAATAAAACATGTACCAGTTCCTGACACTAAAATAAGATGTAAGGGCTTGCTCTAATGCAGAGTGAACTGTATACAGAATTGGCCAACAAGGTGACATCTCTATAACTGATTACAGGAAACTCGACCTCTCAGACCAGCAACTAAATATTCTGTACTAAACCACCCATGTCTGAGGATGACCATATATTTCTTTAAATATCATTTTACAGCAGTAATCCCCCCAAGCTACAAGAAGCCTTAGTGATGGAATTGAGAAAATAGCCAGTTGGTAAATTTGGCACAGCCTGCACCCACTTCCTCAGTGTCTTATGTCCATACACTGTGGAGACAGGCCAACTGTTAAATACTTTCAGCTAATAGATTCCCTGGCACTGAATAGACAATTACAAGGCAAGCCTGTGTTTCAGAAAGATACAAAATAAAATTATAATCCTTTTTTAGATTCATGTTACAGTGGAATAAGATTTTATATTACAGTCAAGAGTATTTTCATTTATATATTTCAACAATAATAATTACATATTACTATAAAGCCACATCATTCAGTAAACAGTATTAGACCAAATTACTACATTTGTAAATGCAGATGAAAAGCCTATTACAAATTGAGAAATCAAAAACTCATTTATTTAATGAAAAAATAAGACAAACGTCCGACAAATGGCACTGATGTGCATTCGCCTAGTGTTTGGAATTCATGGTATTGCGATTGTGTAACCTCTCAGACAGATGAATGTGCACATGACGTAGCCAGTGAAGAGAATGGGATGACTGAGGCAGATGACACTCAGTGAAAGTTCTTGAAAGGGTGCTTGAACACAAATTCATATGTCAGTGGCATCCCAGACTCTCAGCAGCACTGAGGGACACACTGAAAGGAGGACACCTGTGGCTCTTTGTGCTGATACTCTGAGGGAGCCCCTGCACAGCTGAAGAGGTAAAATACAGCAAGCCCATCCCCTCCCAGCAAACAGACAGACAGAAATATATCTTCTGTCTTAGAAATATGTCTTATGAAACACATATTCAGGCACTTCTTTACACAAATGGCTGTAGGATTATGGAACAATGTATCTATCCATGTGGTGGGAACCAATCCCCTCACTTCTTTCAAGAGATGTTTGGACTATTTAGCAGCTGACTACTAAACAGTCTATGTGAGCCAAATGGCCTCTGGTCGGTGACTATTACTATGGACTTACGTCAGTTTGATGGCAGCTTAGAAAAGTAGTGAATTTTGAAGTTTTACAGTCTTAGAAAGGAATAGAACCATCATGTCAAAATCACTAGGTGCATTTGACTGTCTTTGAGAAAATTAAAGAGAATTTTGCACCATACTGTGTACTACATGGCTTAAGGTTCAAATCAGAACCAAGATAGAAAGTATTCATTTAAAGAGTGAAAAATGTTCGTGTTTCTCAAAATTAGCCCATGATATTTCTTGCTTACATTTAATAAAGACTAAAAATGGAAAATAATATGCATGTAGTATAATGCCTGCTGCATGTACTGTATTATTTGTGAACTGGACGGTGCCTATGTCTGCTTATTTTTTCCTACTTGTCAAAGTTTTTCCTGATAATATTTTGTGAAAAATGGAAATAGAGTGGAATAAATTACACCATGGAACAAGCAGATTTTTTTAATAACATCTCAAAAATCCGAGAGGAGATATGAATTGGAAAGGTAATTGGTCTTATTTGTTTCCAACGAGTTAATTGGATTTGGGTCTATTAAGACATACATCATACATAGAGAGAAACATGAGACAAAATGAACACAGATGGGGTTTGTTTACCCTACAGGCAAATGTTCTTGTGCTGCAAAGCATTCCCACAAAGGCTCTGGAAATCCTATATTTGACAACAAGTGCCTAGCAAGCTTAAATTTCTTCGCTGGGTCATTGTGAACAACTGCACGGTATCAGTCAACTGCTTTTCATCACAGCTTTTATGAGAGGAAAACCATAACATATTGTACAGTCCCCATTTACCCACATTTTGACTTGTTAAGTGCTAATCCCCATTTATAACATGTTTTTCTTTTCGCTCTGTACAGCTGGAGATCCGTCAGCTCCAGTCCTAATACAGTAGATTTCATATAGAGTGGACAATGACATCAGATTCTACTTTTAATTTTGGTAGCATTGTTTTTTAACACATTAGTAATATCCAGTTTGCTTTTCTCATCCAGCATGCTTAAAGCGTTGTAATAGTTCTTGAGCAAAACAGGAAGAGACAGAAAAAGCAGAACCTTTTCCCAAAGCAATCAATTAATCAATTGCACTGTGAGGGGGTTAGAGTCAGGCCAGATTTAGAATACAGAATGTCTCTGATTCAGCTGTGTCAAGAAGTGCCATTGCTCTTCAATGTCCATGCTATGGACATGAACTTGGTTTAGCATTTAATCCATTATCTAGCTGCTTTATTTATACAGGATCGTGGAGGGGACGCAGCATATCCCAGCAAGGCGGTGGGCACCCTGGATGGGATGCCAGTCCATTGCAGTACAGACACATACTGTAGACACAAAATACATCCACACCAGGGCCAATTATCCCAGGAGCCAAACCTCCCAGCATATCTTTGGACAGTGGGAAGAAACTGGTGTACCCAGAGGAAACCCACACAGACATGGGGAGAACATACAAATTCCACTCAGATAGCAAACCAGGAAATGAACTCAGCATTCCTGCTCTGCAGGACAGCGATGCTGATCACTGCACCAACCATCTTATGAGATGTGGTCATTTATAACTAAGCAACAGAGGAGAGTACTGCCTGACTTCCAAAATCTGAAAAAGGTCTGAGCAAGGTTAATCCTAACTAATATTTTAACCTTACAAAGTTCTAGTAAGGGGGTCAGCAACTTTAACCGTGCTGAGATGGAAGGAATTTCATGGCAATTTACACAGAGCTTTAAACATGCGTGTATGTTGACCTGGAAAACATGAAAACTTCTACCATTTTAGAGCGAAATTCATCATTCAGAGCTCCAGTTGAATGAAACTAGAAGACTTGCTTTCTGGACTACAAGTGTAGGCTTCAGGCTATGCAGAACTTGATGCCATCAAGGGAAAGTTTTTAGATTTGAAAAAAAAGATGAAAGATTAGAAGCAGCATGCAATTTATTTTATACAGAGCAGCTAAAGCTTTGGACCATTTCTGAAAACATGGTACATTGTTTGAAACTAATACAGCCACATTCCCTGGTAAAGCAATGAGAGACCGCCTTAGGATTACTGGGAACATAGGATGCAAATAAGACAGAAATGGCCACATGGTCTAGTCTTGCTGTAGACTGTTTTAATGTTCTACTGACGGCTGAATTATTATCCAGTTACAAACATATGGTTACTTAGGCTCAATCTATAATCCAAAAAGTTATACTAAAGGAAAAACAAATAATTTTATTTAGGTGGAAAGGCCGGTTTAAACCAGGTATGTTTCTAAGTATTATTTAAAAGAGTGAAACAGAATTGGCATATCTAATGCATTGCAGCAAGGAATTCCAAACCTGTCATGCTTCTGTTAAGGTGACTTGCACTACATCAGACATCTCTGAGGCAGTATAAATTTAATGTACAGCTATGCCAAAAGAGGTTTGTGTGATTGAAGTTCAAATGGGTAATCACATAAGAAATAAAGTAATCTGGTTGCCAGTGGATAATGAATTCCAGGCTGCAGCCTGATGCAATTTAAAGAGGCTGTAATAAACAGGATCGCATGTTTAAGGCGCTGTCTGCACACACTGGATTTATATTTACTGCAGCTATCCGAGCAGACTCCTCTTAGGAGCATGTCCGGTGGCTTAACATTTAATTTGCTTTAACTGTTACAATTTGTGCTTACACATGCAGAAGATGGGCAGAAGATCCTTCAATGTCAGCATCACAAAGTACAGATTCCAGGGCAAAATGCTTATCAGTCTGAGTTAGGTAGAGTTGTGATTAATAAAGCCTAATTCACCTTGAGTGCTGTGTCTTCACAACCCCGTTAAAACACAAATGAAAGCACAGCTACCCCTAACCTGATGCTGGATACTTGTGCCTTGTGAATTCATTGTTCAAATTCCCCTTGATTAATTATTAGACTTAATTATTAGACTGTATTACTGATGATACAAAATTAAATAGGTTCTTTTCAACACCATCACTTGATTGAATTAAGAGTTAACCAGCAAAAGCTGTCGCTCCACAGGGTTTGATGTTCCACGTATGAAACACCCCACACGATTGAGTAATTCTATTACAATTGAGTATTTCAGTTTGTGGAAGATAAGGCTCAGTGTGAATTATTTTTTTAACAAAGGGGATTGACCTGTTCATTTACATTTATTTGTTTATATTCATTGTGAGAGATAGTCTGGATTACACATACACTACAGAAATATTTGTGCAGCAAAATAAAAATATGAGATAAATATGCATCTAAGTCTTTTATGTGAAATACCTTTTAGTAGGAATGTTGTACTGCCTGTTAGTTTTGCATTTAAACTGTAATTATCGAAATTTTATGGTGCCAACTGTAAAAACAGCTCATGGGAAACTGAGTTTGGCAGGTATATGGAACAAATTACTGAATTTCCTTCAATAACTGCCAACGTTAAACAGGTAATTTAAACACTTAATAAACTTTCAAAACAGGCTTAGTGAGTCCAGCCCTGAAGGCCAACAGTTATATTATTGGTCAAATAAACACAATTATTACAGGAAGCTGTAACATCAGGTCTCTGTAAGCTATGACAGATGAAGAAAAGAAAATGAAATATTTATGCTAATTCATAGATGATTTTTTGCCCTTCACAGCACTAAGACGGGAGTCTGAAATGCTAAATAACCATTGGGTTCACAAGGCAATTTTTCTTTCTAAAATCACTGTCATTATCTGATCCTCTTCATTTCAGTATTAATCACTCAGGTAATTCACTTCTGAATCAACAAAGGAAAATCGTAATTTTGGAAACACCTGCAAAATCTGCAAGCCTGAGAACTTTCATTCTTTCCTTCTCTTGCTGTTTTTTGCCTTCAGACTCTGACATTCATATGCAGAATGTTGTCAAATGTTGTTGTTAGTGTTTTCTTATAAAAATCCTACAGTTCCTCAACAATTAGCCAATTGAAATACTAAAATTACTTATGAGATAACACACTTGTTTTAAATAAAATGATATGATGCATAAGAGGAAAGACAATCAATTTATTAGCTTAACTTATGGCAATACAGTCGGTGAGTGGTTCATCTTGAAAGATGACTTAGGGGCATGAGGTTACACTCACCTAATGTTAACCTGAAAAAGCTTAAAAACACTTAAAGGTTTTTTTTTTCTACTGTAAAAGTTATGCAGTGCTCTTGATGTGCTGATGATGAAACATTTTAAAACTCTTTCAAAAGCTTTGCAACACTTGTAATTTACCTCAGGATTAAAATTTCTGTTGTAAAATTGAAAATATTAAGTATTATATGGCATGTTGTGCCAGCAAACTGTTTTCCATGGTAAGTTTACTGCGCAGATTTTCAGTTTGCTTCATTTTTTCTCTTTAACTCTTCTCAACTGCCAGGGACCTCCAGCTTCAAATTTTCAAATTCACTCCTGTCAAACTGTTTTTAGTTTTAGAAAATTAAATGGGATTGGTGTTCATCTTGGTTTTGCATGTGAAAGATTAACAACACATTTCAATGATGCTGTGAGTCCTTCTGGTGCCCTCGTATTCCATTTTCACTAACGAGTGCAATCGACTGGCTTTAAACCTCAATTATTCCAACTGAGCAAACTCAATACCCAAGCAAAATTATATATTGAATTACATCACACAAAGCTGCAATGGATCTCTTGGAATTAACTGCAACAATAATGCTGTAAATAGGCCAACTGAACTTTGGTAATTATATGGCCAAATCAACAGCTTTTTTTCTTTCATCTCCCTCACTTCCCCTTTGCTTCCTCTCCTCTCTTTCCTTTTGAACTGCTTCTTTCTTCTCTCTCCAAACCATTTTAGCTAGATTATCAACTGGGCCCTTCAAATGCACTGAGCTCATTTATCAGCAGTGTATGACCACAGTGAGAAGTCACACATCCCTGAGCTCCTTGTAAAACAAAGCATGTAACAGCTGTGGATGCAAAGAGTTCTCTTGAGCCTCTGTGCCTTCAGCTTTCTCTTTATTGTGGTCTATTTTTTTTCTCAAAGAGTTCTTGTCAAGAGTAGTACAGTGGTTGCTGCCTTGCAACTCTGGGGCCATGGGTTCAATACCTGAGGTGTTATCTGGGTGGAGTTTGCATGATCTCCCTGTGTTTACATATTAACGTGTGTTTAGTCCAGATGCTCTGGCCTCCTTCCACAATCCAAAGGCATGCTGGCAGGTTAACACGCTTTCGTAAAATTGTCCCTGGTGCGTGTGCTTGAGTCTGTTTGTGCTTTGTGATGGACTATCCAGGGTATATTTGGCTTTGTGCCCAATGCTTTCTGGGATATGTTCCTGGCAACCATGACCCTGAATTGGAGAAGTGGTTATTATGTGCTTCTTGTCAAATAATGATTAGGTCACCGTAAATAACTTTAAAATGCACTTAAGGTGTTTGTTACAACCTGAAACTTTCCCTGCTACAGCACCGTGACAGTGAGGTGTTACAACCTAAAACTTCCCCTGCTACAGCACTGTGTCATGAAGGTGGGACCTAAAGCTTCTCCTGCCACAGCACTGTGTCATACTAAATTAATATGTTCTGAAACAACTGCCTTTCTGACAATGTACAAACACACCAAAGCATGTTAAAGGACATGCTGTTGCACCATGGGAATTCTTTCTTAATGAACGTATTCTGATATAGTAGTGAAAAAGCTGGATTTGAAAAATGAAATAAATCCATCACTCTCTATATTTCCCTCATAAGGTTATACAGTTAGCATGCCATTGAAAGAGACACCTCCAGGCTGAGAGTGTAATTATGTTAATTGATAAAATGTATAACTGTCCTCATTATCTCTTTGGGTCATGGTGTTTTTGTGCTCGCCGTTGTGTTGAACTTGAACATGAGAGTCATAGATGTTATTATAATCATAGAAAAAGAGGCAAATCTATGTGAACTTCCCCAGATAAGGATGACAATGTTAGCATCCACAAAGTCAGTTATTTTTATCTCACACTTGTTTTGTATTTTTATTTTCATTATAATTATTCCACCTTTTTTGCTATTAATTATATTCAGATATGGTTTGCTTTATTCGATGGATTTTTACAGGACAAAAATGCCATCATCCTGGCCATGTATCTCAATCAGAAAAATGCAATTTGGAACTTTTAAAAGAACACTCTTCTTGATGATGACGCACTGCATAGAAGTGCAGGTTTATGATACCATTTTGTTACCTCTTACTGTACATCCTCTTCCTCTTGGAGTTATGAATAGACATATAACCACTCGTCCCTGGAAAGCATGTTACTACCAAGAACAAGAAATACATTTAAAAAACTTTAAAGGCTACTTTAAAGGTAGAGTCGCACTGTAAACAGGGAGCTCTGTCTGTGCCCCCGTTAGAAAGATGTAGTTACACAAGCTATCCCATACTCCCCCGTGAACACTTACCCCATGAGCTGGATAAGAGATCCACCCCAGCTCCCCTTGACTCGCTTTTGAATCCAGCAGGTTAACTATGGAACAAGAGGAAACAAAAGAGAGGTGAGCCAGTGATCTTTTTTTTATTTCTGTGCAGCTTAAAGACAAGCTTCCTTCATCAAAACCACATTGACTCAGCTGCCTGTCCTTTCACCAGTCGATGAGCCACAATGCTTGACTGCGCCTCACCAGCCCCTTATTTTTTTTTTCTACCAGCAGGTGCTTATTCCCTCTACGAGGAAATTTGCATGTATAAACAGGTTCACTGGTGACCTCCATTCCTGCCTCCACCCTTCTCACACCCCCACTGTCCTGCAGCACTGCTTGAGCGAAGTTGCAGGTTCACGCTTGACGAAATGAGAACAGACAAAATGGTGTGTTACTTTTTTTTTCCTTTTCAGGGAGAATTTAACCTTTACTTATTCCTTTGCAGCCAATGCAGTTAGTTTCCCACTCAAAGTTGCAGTTTGTCCCAAGTGCACCTGCTCCAAAGACCTCGGCAGGCCGCAGGCCTCAGACATCTTAACCTGCACACCCCTTACAAATTTGTTATTCTTTCGATAGGCATCTAAATCAGCACACAAGGAAACACAGCTACTTCTCAGAATCTGGGAATCACATAAAACAGAAACCAGGCTATTAAATTAAGAGTTGGTTCACAGTAGCTTTACGAAGCTTTGAACAAACAAATCAAATCCTGACTGGTTTTGCTGGAGAAAAGATGTGTAGTCTACAGTGAATATTGATGATTAGCTTGTGACGAATTTCATGTAGAAGACGTATCAGTGTGTAAACTGCAGAGGAACAAGAGGTTAATTCCCTGTTGAAAAGTAAGAAGAGGAAAACACACGTTTCAGTTCCGGAGCCCTTGTCACTCCTGAAGAAACCTCCATAGTCGAAACATTGTGGGTTTTTTTTCTTTGTACTTTTCAACATGGAATTAACCTTTACTTGACACTTTGACCTACGTGAGCCAGTATATTCTAGAAGCCTGTATCAACTGTGCCCTTAAATTTCATTAGGATTGAAGCTGAGGTGAAGGAATATTCAAATTAAGGAACAGTCTGCTCAAAATGATAAAAATGGGTCATAAAATGCACCGTTTTTTTATCACAAGTGTACACATTTTGAAGTTAGTTTGCTCTTGTTACTGATGGATTGGGTTTGTGATACTGTACATGCTAGCTGCAACTAAATTTCACAGCAGCCTCTTTCCAGCAAGTGTCTGGGATAGAAGTAAACACTCAAAGCCAACTAAAACAAATAAAATAAACTCTGATTGCCCAACTAAAGCACGCTTTACTGTTGGATCTGTTTTAATTTTCGAAGAAAAATATCATATTTGTGTTTTTTATTATAGTCACAACATATTCATTGGCCTGAAAATGGTGAAATTTAATTTACAATTTTCAATCATTTTTCTGTCTATATATCATGAAGTTGCCACATTCCAGTCTGCTATGTTGCTCAAGATGAGGCCATGAAAGAGGTGGCAAATTTTCAAGTTTCTTTCTCAAGATTTCCTGTTGTAAGATTCCACAGCTACAGCCTGCTGTTCTCCTCATTTGATCAATGTAAAGATTTACTACATAGAGGGAAGGCTCAGGTAAATGAAGAATGCACTCTAGCAGGCTGCAGCTCACAGTCTCATCTCCCTTTAGTCTAATTCCCATCTTCGATTCAGCCATAAATACAGTGATACTGATGGTGAATAATGCCCTCAATTTATAAAAAGCACTGGAACAGAAATGCAGCTGACAAGTTAACCACTCAGCCTCTATAGGTTTTCAAACAAATGCTGTGATTTGTTCTCACTCAGTGAATGGGACATTTAATCTTCCAAGATCCTGTCAGACAGCAGATCGCATCAGTGTCTGGACCCATTTTGGAATGTCGAAGTTGAGGACTGAGAAAACCTTTGTACTTTCTATCCAGCGCTAAATGGCTAGCTAGCTCTCTCAGTGATCCAAGAGTTCCTCCCGTTCCTACCCTCTGGACTGATGGTACAATAACACACTTCAGCTGATAAAAGCAAACTAAAAACATAACAGTCGCTCAAACGACATGTGAATTCTCAAAGGAATTTTTTTCCTAAATCACACCGTGTAACTGTCTATTTTTAAAATATGCAGACTGTTGAGTTTGGCAGAAAACACCGGTGTAATTTTAAGAAACATTATGTTATTGTCCTGCTTTTCTTCATGTGAACAAATTAATAATCATTCTAAAACAAACTTCATACAGCCTTAAAATCCTCTGAAAATTCCAATGTATTCAAGCACTGCTTATTTGTGTGACTCAGGTGTTTCTGTGTATTTATTGTCCGTTGCACGAGAAAATGTCTTGTTTTTCAGAAGGTTAAACATAGAAGAGATTCTAGTTTTTTTATTGGGTGATTCTTTATACTCCTTATACATAACAAGCCTGCAGGAAACAAATGCAGAGACTGCCTAGAATACCAGGGAACTGGCCTTACCGGGCAGTCAATAGTACTACTGACAGTCCGTACAGCCTGTTTTCTATTAGTTCTAATAAAGCTATCTCCTTATGTCAGATAATGATAAACTGTAGTTCAAGCTGCAGCTCCATTGGTTTCAATTTACATTTCTCAATGAGCCAAGCAAACATTTCAGATTGAACTGACCAAGAAAATTTAAACCCAGAAAATGAGAAGATTAGATCAGCCAGAGGATTCTGCTGAAGAAGAAGAGAAGCAAGAGAAGGTGAGGGTGAGAATGGGGATAATGCGATGATGACGCACTGCACAGTAGTGCAGGTTTATGATACCATTTTGTTACCTCTTACTGTACATCCTCTTCCTCTTGGAGTTATCAATAGACACTCGTCCCCGGACCACTCGTCCCCGGAAAGCATGTTACTACCATGAGCCAGAACAGGTGAATCAATAATTGAAAGACATAAAAACCAGGTTTACAACTGAAGACTGCCTGTCGGCATCTACTGAGCTGATAAATTATCACAGCCAGCATTGCTACTGCTCCTCTTTCATCAGTACATGCATCCTGGTTTGAAGATCCCAAGACTGTGGGGAAAAATAACTGTTGGTCGTCCACATACTGACTTGTTGAACAGTAAGGAAAGAAAATGTAGTCTGGGAAGCTTAGTTGTAGCCATAGAAATTATAATACAATTTATTGTATATGAGCACTTTTCAAAAACCTAGCACTAAAAACACAGCAGTAACAGCAGTAGCATTAATAGTATTAATTGGTGACAGGAGGATAAATTCCCCTGTTAAGGATATTGACCACCCATACTGGCCACAGCAAGAGCAGCTCATGATGTTGCAGAAAGCAAGTTTGTTTTCTTCTTTCTAACACTTTCAGTAGTGACCTAAGGAAACACCTCTATACTAAACTAGCATCCATGACACTACAGTATATTCTGTAAAAATCCTGGAATTAGAATGAGTTGGAATTACATGTACATATGGCCACTGGGATGTCAACAGTGAAAAATAAAAATCCAGGTACTGTCCATTACCGAGCTGTAGCAACACATGGAGTGTCACTTTGTCATTTTATTATTTGGAACTCTGCTGCTTACACTTCAGTGCAATGTCTTGATACCCAAGGCTTTTCTGTTACCATGGCAGTGAGTGGATATAACATGGAATTCTTAATAACATTTTGGTTCCACAAGGCTGTTGGTTGCTTTTAGGGAATAAATGATGAAGAGACAGTTTAAAACTTGACTGTTTGAGAGAATAATTATTATAAAAACTATATTTTTCTCAGACTTATGAGTTAGGATGTGTATCTCTCTTTCAAGAGGATGAACCCTGAATGCTCATTTATAAGGCACAACTTAACAATGCACTCTCCTTTATTTTGGCTATTTGTCAGCAGCTGCAGTTTCTAAGTATAGCACACAAATCCTGCCCTTTAACCCCAATAACTCCTCTTCAAACAAATATATATATATATTAACAGATACTAACAGAATGTACACACCAGGAGCCAAGGAGCATTCTTTGGTTGTCAAGATTAAGAAATTTCCCTGAAGTTCAATGAAAGCTAGAAATAATGAAGAACGTTTGTTCAAGTCAGGCTGTCACCTAGAGTAGACAGTTTCTGAACTGTGATTTTTCACTTTCCCCAAATGAATTTACCATGCACAGCAAACCAGAGTCACACACTGACATGAATAAAATACACCAGCGATCTTGCTTACTGCAAATGTCCATTACAAAGACACTGCCACTTATTTACATAGAAAGAATAATACTGAAATGAGCAGAACACTTTGATACAAACTCAGTTAAGAGCAAAAAAGGTTATCCTGCATTATTCTGCATGTCAAAAGAATTTCCTTGCTTATCTCATCTTTACATTTCAATTATTTTATACAAATATCAGTCACTTCTCTAGTATCATTTACCTGGTACTATACAGACAATACAGAAAATATTATATTTCCTGAAGAACGTTATATGTATTAATTATATTTATCAATATTAGGATGTCTAAAACATTCTAATGCAATGGTCATAGCTTTGCATATTTCTAGTTTAGACTTAACTAAGTTACAGAAAAAACCTAGAAGGATAACAGCTGTGTCATGAACTGACAGCGTTATTTCTGTCACTTGCTTCATCATTCCTGAAACTATAAACTACAGATGTTACAGAGGTGCTTCATTAAATCCACTAAGTTCCTAAACTGTAGGACTTACTTTTTCAAGTGAGATGACTATTAAAAATATTATACATAAATGAAATTGTGCTTAAGAAAGGGGCATTTAATGCACTGTATTGAAAAAATCCCAGCCGTACTCCATTAATCTTTTTATCGCAGTCAGTAAAGAAATTATAACAGGTTCTGTCTATTACAACAGCAATGAAGTGTAAAGCTGCACAGAACATAAATTATTCAGTTTTCTCTTGCGAGCCTGAAGCCTCTGGTCTTTCCAGGTTTCTTATAAATGGCCGGAACTTTCCACTTCATCAGCTACCTCTTCAGAGAAGCACCTTGTACAGCCGATCGCCACCCTGAAGATACTGCAGACCAGTGCA